ATGTATATAAAATACAGAATCCTTGATATATATTATACACCATTTGTTTATGTTAAAAAAAAATGTATAAAACTAAACACATGTATTTTGTAAGAGCGCGGTAACCTGTCTCGGTTGATCGATAACAACATCTGATGTATTTGGATAGTCCTTCTGTTACATTATAATAATATTAAGATTATATATATTTAAATATAATATTTAATAGTACAGAACACATTTATTAAGATTAAACTGACCGTTTGAATTCCTTCATCTGTATGAAGGGCTTCTTCAGTTTCACGAAGTCCAATGTCAATTCCAGCAAAATGCTTCATCAGTAACATTTCCATCTTTATTTTGACCAACCTAATGTAATTATGAATATCAAAAAATTATGATGAATTCCAAAAAAAAAAAAGAAAAAATATATATATATATATATATACCAAAAAACAGAATCGTAGTATGTTTGAGGTATATAAATCTCTCAAAAAATATGAAAACAAATATGAACTGAACAGACAATTTAACAAAAAAATTGATAAACAAAACAGACTATCCTTAATAAACAATTTTCTTATCTTAGACTTGACATAAAACTTACCTTTAACTTTATAAATGAAATTGATATGTACTGAATTAAAAAAATGAATACAAACAGGGTATCATAATGATTCTTGAACTAACAATAATTAAATATATGACATATTCTGTTGTTAAAGGGTTTCCAATAAACACGTTCTGACATGTTTCACATATATTGAGTCATATACCAAACTCAGGAGTGAAAATATTGAGACATACAATTTCACACACACACACACACATATATATATATACATATATATATATACATTTGTATATATGTATATATGTATACATAACTATATGCAATAAATAAACTCATTTGTGATTTAAACAAAAATATAAATATGCACTGTGAAGTAATATCATGATTACAGTGAAGTAAAATATACATAAACATGATATAGACTATTCATATACTAATCAGATATAAACTCTGAATTAAAGTATAATTACTTGGAAAATCTTCTTGGCATCATATACTGAATATAAAA